GATTGAGCCACATCCCCAGCCCCAATAATTCATTTTTGATTAATCATAAGGTTATCCCAGGTTGGCTTCCTGCATTTACACAGCATACCTCTTAGTCACTTCTCTTCATTTAATTCAGAATGATGATAGGATACAAATTTAACATGGGCTTCAGGAAGATAAACTTTGGAAGGCAGGTAAATAATAACAGAAAAAAGTCACATTACAAATTTCTAAATAAAAAGTAAAAGATTTGGGGATGTTTGTACCATAGTTCTTTCTTGGCACAGGAAATAAATATTGATATTCAATAAATTGATTTAATTAGAATTTAAATACTAAGTAGGGCTTCATGGTAGAGCCTTGCCTGGGAAGCATTACGTCCTGGGTTTGATTTCCAGCACTGCAAAAACATTTTAAAAAGCTAGAATTTAAATGATAAGCAAACACTTGTTTCCATATCCTTTAAGAACCAGAAACAAGATTGTAATTTTAAAATATCATAGGTCAAAAATTATGATAAATAAAGTAAAATCTAACTTAACAGGAATTTTGATTAATTTAACCAAAGAACAGTTTTGTTTTAATTATAAACTCTTTATTACTTGGCATTTACACACATAAAATACATATTTAATTGAATATTTTATATAAATCTAGGCAACTATTCTAAATACAAAATTATGATTATAAAACAAAGCAAATTCTATAAAGGAGGCATGTGATTTGGTGCTAGATTTACAATTGTCTATCTGATATGTCTCAGTCATTTTTTGCAAAAAATTGTTCACATGAGAACTCAAAAAGTGAGCAATTCATTGTTAAAAAAATTGTTTTCATTATGTAGAAAAYAGAACAGGACACAATGCAAAATAAAGATGGTAAAGTCTTCAGAATTTCTTTATATTGTTGCTAGTAAGATGCTAGAACCTAAAGCTATGAGGATCTCTCCAATTAAAATATGTACATCAAATATGCATTTAGTGCTTCCCTGGGAGAAATGATCTGTTAGCCACTTTTGGAAGAAGGATGGTCCACTGTAGACACCGGGAAAATGTTTTCGACCACAGCCATGTCCATAACTGGTAATTCCCATCACAAAAAATTGTTTATGTTCCGGTAAGTAGCACATTAATGGTCCACCACTGTCACCCTATTAAAAAAGTGCCCAAATAGTGTTAGCCACTYCTAGTTCTTCAAACATCAGTAGAGTTGAGATAAATTAATTACATTAAACATATATTTATATAAATATTCCTTTTCATATTCCTTCAAGTGATAGCATAGTATTTTTTGTTGTTGTTTTCAGTCACTGGCTAGCTAGACTCCAATAACAGAATGAAGTGCAGGGAAGGACTTACAGATAGGTCGTGGTAGAGAGGCACCTAGATCACATAATTTTTTTTTTAAGAGAGAGAGAGAGAGAG